ATATAGATAGATAGATAGAGAGAGAGAAAAAAAAAGAAAAGAAAAGAAAAGAGATAGTGAAGGAAGAGAGAATGCGTAAATGTGTACATGCATACATATTTAACTCCGAAAACACGAGGCTGCACTTCCCCCTAACCGAGAGAGAGAGAGAGAGAGAGAGAGAGAGAGAGAGAGAGAGTGAGTGAGTGAGTGAGTGAGTGAGTGAGAGAGAGAGAGAAGGAGAGAAGAGAAAGAAAAGAGAGATTGAAGAAAGAGAGAATGCGTATGTGTGCACATGCAAACACATTTAGAGAGAGAGAGAGAGAGAGAGAGAGAGAGAGAGAGAGAGAGAGAGAGAGAGAGAGAGAGAGAGAGAGAGAGAGAGAGAGAAATCAGAGAGAGAGAATGCATATGTGTGTATATGCAAACACATTTAACTTCGAAAACACGAGGGTGCACCCTAACCTACGACAAGATGAAAATGAATATCACGCACAAAATGCCAGAACTAATAGCATTTAGAGACACAAAACAAAATTTTCCAGAATTAATCAGTTTAAATCATATCGTTTTTTTTTTTCTTTCTCTCTTTTTAATGAGAAAGATAACTACCAAACTATCACGGATTTTCGAGATTAATGAAAGTGAATGGTGGACGTTTACCGTGTTCGTTTGGCCAGACGTGGCTTTGTTGTTAAATTTCGTAGTTTTGTTGCGCTTTGTTGTTAAATTGCTTTACCATGTTTATTATATTTCATGCCTTTCGTGGATAGTGTGGGGATTGTTACTCTGGTCAAAACAATGACATATTGACATAGCTTTATTCGCTTCTAGTGTATGTTCACTTATTTGTATTCTCTAATATATTTAAGTGTGTATTATATATATATATATATATATATATATATATATATATATATATATATATATATATTTATATATACATACATATAAATACACACACACACACACACACACACACACACACACACACATATATATATATATATATATATATATATATATACGTATACATACATACACACACACACCTATAACATATGTATGTATGCATGTATGTGTGTATATATTTACATGTTGTGTATATATATATATATATATATATATATATATATATATATATATATATATATATATATGTATATGAAAATTTGAAAATTAGCCCTAAATATCAATAACGTAACACGAGCGCCCAGCCCCAATGCATTCTATTAGTCAATGTTTTTTGGTCGTGTCAGGAACGCTATCAACACAAAACAGGATAATTACTGTTTGTCTAATTGCGAAGTTACTGACGAATTTGCACATCTGACTCGGAGATCTTGAACAAAAAAAATCACAAGAACTTTGTGTTTTCAAAATCAGAACACGAATTGTTTATTCTTAATAGCGTAAAAGGGGCCAGCGTGCAGAATGGAAGCTAGAAGGGAGGGTGGATATACCAGCTGCGTTCCTTTTGGACGTTTAACGACAATACAAAAGACAAGAGAATGTAAAGGAAAACAGGGAAGGACAAAGAAGGAGTCAGGAAAACAGATGAGAGACAAGGAAGATTCGAGAAAACAGATGTGTTGACGTAATGATGATTTTAGCAGTCAAAATACATACCTGAACAACAGTCCAACCACGGCGCCACAACATCCTGTGTTGGCCGAAAATAACACAATGCTTTAGGCATAGTTACCTAGAAATCCAACACAGCTTAAATAAAAGGGGAGAATAAACCGGACTGAATATCTGACCTTCAAAAAAATTCACCATTCTTCATTTCCTGTATAATCCGTTTTTTTTTCAGAATTTAGATATGTAGATTTTATAATAACTTGCAATGTAAATGCGTAAAACGATATTATTGCCCCCCCCTCTCTCTCTCTTTAACTTGATTACTATACTACTCTCTGGATGCACCCAGCTGTTTCGTCGTGAGAGGAGAGACCAGTCCCAATGTTTTCCATATTTATGATTATTTTACGATTATTGTTGTTTCATTATTATTTTATTACAATTATTACCATTTTATGGTGATTATTTCATAATGATTATTTTTTATGATTATATGATATTTTTTATGATTATCATTATTTTACGACCATGATTTTATATAATTATCACTATTCATTTTTTTTTAGTACCTGTATAGGCCTACAATACTAACTATTTACCCTCTCTCCCTTCAGCCAACCACGAGTGTTTTTACCCCGACTTCCGCTGCAAGAACAGAGAATGCATCCGCCCATTATTAGTATGCGATGGTGTTAAGAACTGCAATGATGGGACAGACGAGTCGGAGTGTGATCCAGGTCAGTAAACATAGTAACAAGAATAATTTATAATAATTGATAATTCATAGGAATAATAACCTATGTGAATAGTTTGTGAGAATGATTCATTCACCACTACACAGAATTATTTGTAGAGCATATGAGAGCACTATTATACTCAATTTCACTATTATACTCAATTTTGTGTAAAGAATATATCTGGAGACACACGAAGTACACGAACTAGTATATAAAGGCCGGAATGCAAATACATAAATAAGTAATAACGATAACTACAGACACTTAAACAATAGTACACAAATGGGACACTTGCAAACGAGCACTAATCACAACTAGTATTTTAAAGACCCCCAGTGACCATTACATAAAGCGACCTAGAATATGGCTTATAGACGCACTAATAGTTAGCCCGGACCCAATAACCCGGCCAAATGTAACTTTCAACTTCGCTTTTAAAGTCTTTAATTTGATTTATTTCCCCGTCTGTTGCCGTTCGATGCTCTCAAGACAGGGCCCTAGTTTTAATTCTTCTGTCACTTAGCATTTGTATTTGAATATTGTCTTTTTATATATAGTAATATCCACTGTGTATACTACTACAATCATCTACACACAATAATTTAGCACATGCGGTCACACACACGCACACACACACAGATACAGACACACACACACACACAGATACAGACACAGACACACACACACACACACAGATACAGACACACGCACACACACATACACACAAATACAGACACGCACACACACATTTAAGTTAGACAGCTTTTGTTACGCTTGAATGTGCAAATAAAAGGCAGATACTTAAACCTGATCTGTGGAAACATAACCGAAATTATTCCAACTTAGTTCGCAAACAGGAATATTTCCAGCAGAATTCTCTCAGATATTGAAGTCATCATAATAAAAAGTCAGTGTTTATTCTTTTCCTTTTCCTTTCATCCCTGCTTTTTATTTGTTTTTCTTTTAAATATTTTCTTTTACTTTTTATTTCTATTTATTTCTTTATCTATTTTTACAAATACAGTAAAATGGAATTGTCTTTTGGGTAACGTTCTAGAAATAAAAAGAGAAATGATATTCCAAACAAATGTTTGTTGAACGACAATAAAAAATATAACATAATCATCATCTCTATATGTGTGTGTTTGTATGTGCCCGCGCGCGTGCATGCCTGCTTACATGCTTGCGTGTGCGTGCGCTCACGTGTACATTCATGCATTCTCCCTCTTTGTCAAAAATCTAAAATACTTTCTTTTTATTTTCCTCAGAACATTTCAAAGTGTGCGCATCTGGCAAGCGCATTCACAAGTTCTATTGGTGCGACGGACACGCCGAATGTGAGGACAACCACGCCGACGAAATGGACTGTGAGTGTTTAACTACTTTGCGTGTTTATTTTGGGTGCCTGCGCTCGTTAATTTACTCTGCTTTATCTTTGTCATATTATTTTGATTGATTGATTTTTATTATTATTACTTTTATTTATTTATTATTTTTTATCTATGGTTAATGTTGCGGGGGTAATTTAATATTAATAGGGGTTACATGTTATCTGTTATGTTTTTTTGGGGGGATCATTATTATCTTTCTATGGACCTTTGTGTCTGTTATGGCACCCCATCGCAACGAGAGGGGTGGCTCCCTCTTTCTTATAATCTGTCATATTCTCCTCTCTCTCTCTCTGTCTCTCTCTCTCACTCTCTCTCTCTGTCTCTCTCTCTCTCTCTCTCTCTTCTCCTGTCTGGTGGAAATATTTCACAATTTATAGTATATATTATTATTTAAAAAATCTACTATTCAAATCAATTAAACATTAAATAAAACTAATGGTGATACATTAGACGATCATGCAGGTAATTTCCTCTATGTAACCGCTTGTTAACGGTCCTAATTACCCGACTGTTCGAAAGGAGCGAACTACCGTTTAAATCAAAGCTAAGTTTGGCCGTTAGAGAAACATTGTAACGGTTTTTTTTTCAAGATTCCGAGATTTCCGTTAAGCAAGAATGATAAGCATTTTGTGCGTAGTCTTGCAATAGCTGGAGTGATATTAGTATAATTGGATAGCGGAGTGAAGGGCGAAGATAAGATTTAAATAGGGGTATAAAGCACGGTAATAAAATGCAGTAAAAAGGTATAAAGCACAGTAATAGGGGTGGAATTGGGAGAGTACCATTGGCGTTCGTTGGTCATTTGTTTGTCTTGTTCTTGCTCTAGCTTTATTCGCTCCCCTCCCCCCTTTTTCACAGATGCTCCATTAGATTGTGTGTGTGTGTGTGTGTGTGTGTGTGTGTGTGTGTGTGTGTGTGTGTGTGTGTGTGTGTGTGTGTGTGTGTGTGTGTGTGTGTGTGTGTGTGTGTGTGTGTGTGTGTGTGTGTGTGTGTGTGTGTGTGTGTGTGTTCATTTCCCTTTTCGTCTCCATCTGCCTTTTGCCCCCCTCACTTCCATGGCATATGTTCCCCATCTGTCATCGTGATTTCCATTAACCTTTCCTGCTTACTCGCCACCACGGATTTTCCCTTGCCTCTGCCTCTATTTCCTTCTTTATTCCATTGTCCATCACCCCATTATCTCTATTGCCATCCCCTCTTTCTCCCCGCGTTTACTCCGCTCTGCAATTCTTCCCTTCCTTTATCACCCTTTTACCCGTTCTATTTTCATCCTACATTCACCAATTTACTCTTTCGAATGAATGTTTCTCCCCAATTTTAATTTCTATTTCTTCCTCATCAAAGTATTTCATAACGAGAACATCATTATGCTCTCACACTCTCACCCTCACTCTCTCTCTGTCTGTCTCTCTTTCTCTCTCTTTTTTTCTCTCTCTCCCTCCCTCTCTCTTTCTCTCTCTCTCCCTCTCTCTCTCTCTCTCTCTCTCTCTCTCTATCTCTCTCTCCCTCTCTCTCTCTCTATCTCCCTCTCTCTCTCTCCCTTCCTTCCTCCCTCTTTCTCTCTGTTTTGAAGACATTCGATCTGTTTACAAAAGTTGACACTAACAACCACTTGCAAGATACTGACGGATAGACACATTCGCTTTAATAGGCGACACTTGGGGCGGAGGGCAAGAAAAAGCGATTCTGTTAACAAGCAATTTCCGTGAATCGATACCTTGACGCTGTTTTGTGCTTTGGTCGTTTATTCTGAAACTCGCTGAGTCTGCATGAGGGGCGCCCTGAGGAAATATGGGCGCCTTTGCAGGTTCTGTATCCTGTTGTCATTTTTTTTTATGGTTCTGGTCCTTTTTTTCTGTTTCTGTTTCCGTTTCTGGTTCTTTTTCTGTTTCTGGTTCTTTCTCTGTTTCCGTTTCTGGTTCTTTTTCTGTTTCTGTTTCCGTTTCTGGTTCTTTTTCTGTTTCTGTTTCTGGTTCTTTTTTTTGTTTCTGGTTCTTTTTCTGTTTCTGTTTCTTTTTCTGTTTCCGTTTCTGGTTCTTTTTCTGTTTCCGTTTCTGGTTCTTTTTCTGTTTCTGTTTCCGTTTCTGGTTCTTTTTCTGTTTCCGTTTCTGGTTCTTTATCTGTTTCCGTTTCTTGTTCTTTTTCTGTTTCTGTTTCCGTTTCTGGTTCTTTATCTGTTTCCGTTTCTTGTTCTTTTTCTGTTTCTGTTTCCGTTTATGGTTCTTTTTCTGTTTCTGTTTCCGTTTCTGGTTCTTTTTCTGTTTCCGTTTCTGGTTCTTTATCTGTTTCCGTTTCTGGTTCTTTTTATGTTTCTGTTTCCGTTTCTGGTTCTTTTTCTGTTTCTGGTTCTTTTTCCGTTTCTGGTTCTTTTCATGTTTCTGTTTCTGTTTGTCTGTCTGTCTCTCTCTCTGTCTCTTTTTCTCTCTCTCCTGTGCATGTGCATGCATGTGTGTGCGCGTGCGTGTGAGCGTGTGCGCGTGTATGTATCGGTCAGTCTATCTCCCCTGTCGTTTTTTTCCCCGCGTCAGCAATTAGTTAGAGTAGGAAAACCTATCCATCTTGGGATATCTTGTATACATATATATTTTCTTGCTTCTTGTGCATTTCATTTTTCATAGTTTTTTTTCAGTTCATAGCTTCCGTTATGGAATTAATGTCCGTTTATGAATCATAATGAACGAGAAATTTCTACCACGATTGTAATGATGATCAAACAAACAAACAAATCTTGTTTGTTAGTTATTTATTCTCTTTTTACCATAGTTAATTTACATAAGTAAATACAGAAAAAAAATGATATATTAATTAATTACGCATCAGAGTTAAGTAACTACCTCTTAAAAAAACTATATATATACATATATACATACATATGTATATATATATATATATATATATATATATATATATATATATATATATATATATATATATATATATATATATATATATATACGTTACTGATTTACCAATTTGAAGAATTAACTTGCAACTCTAAAATTACAAAGACTGTATTTCTTGGCCTCGTTAATAAAAATATCGATGCACCATAGGCTATCATATAATCACGTTTGTTAATATTAGAATTACTTTTCTTTTCTATTAACATTACAAATGCAGTAGCTATTGCTGTTGTTATCATTTTGTTATCATCATGATAAGCATTGACATTGACTTTATTCTTTATCATTATTATTATCATAATAATGATACTAATATTTATATGGTGATGAAGATAATAATAATGATAATAATAACAATAATAATAATAATAATAATAATGATAATGATACTACTACTACTGCTACTACTAATAGTGGCAATAACAATAATAGTAATGACAGTAATAATAATAGTAATAATAATAATGATGATGATGGTAGTAATAATAATGATAATTATAATGATAATAATAATAATAATGATAGCGATAATGTTAATAATAATAATGAGAATATTAATAGTAAAAGTAATAATAATGATAACAATAATGATGATGATGATGATGTTAATGATGATTCCTCTCCCTTTCCCTCTCTCTTCCCCATTCCCACTCCCTTTCTTTTTCCTTTCCCACTTCCCCCCCTCACCTCCTTCGCTCCCTCTCCCATCTCCCTTTTTTCACTGTGTTCCCTCACTATTGCCTTTCTCTTTTCCCTTATCTATCCCCTCTTCTTCAAGTCCCCTCCGTTTCATTCCTCTCAGGGTTACACGCTTATCCAACTTAACAGATTATTTTTTCTTAACTTCCTATAAATATCTTTTCCGTTTACTTCAATAACGCCGATTTGCGCTTCAAGTCAATTTTCTAAATTCCGATCCCTCCCCCCCTCCCCCCTCCCACACACACACACATGAAAAATATTGTGTCAGATGATAAAAGATTTTTTTTTTTTTTTTTTTTTTTTTTCTTTTTTTACCTTTTCATTCATTCCTTATCGTTTATTCTCCTCCATCTCAGAGCCTTGGCTGATAAATGACCTTCTAGTTTTTCCTCCTCCTCCTCTTCCTTCAAAATTGTTTCTTTCTCCTCCTTTTCCTTCAAATCTGTTTCTTTCTCCTCCTTTTCCTTCAAATCTGTTTCTTTCTCTTTCTTTTCCTTCAAATCTGTTTCTTTCTCCTCCTTTTCCTTCAAATCTGTTTCTTTCTCCTCCTTTTCCTTCAAATCTGTTTCTTTCTCCTCCTTTTCCTTCAAATCTGTTTCTTTCTCCTTCTTTTCCTTCAAATTTGTTTCTTTCTCCTTCTTTTCCTTCAAATCTGTTTCTTTCTCCTCCTTTTCCTTCAAATCTGTTTCTTTCTCTTTCTTTTCCTTCAAATCTGTTTCTTTCTCCTCCTTTTCCTTCAAATCTGTTTCTTTCTCTTTCTTTTCCTTCAAATCTGTTTCTTTCTCCTCCTTTTCCTTCAAATCTGTTTCTTTCTCTTTCTTTTCCTTCAAATATGTTTCTTTCTCCTCCTTTTCCTTCAAATCTGTTTCTTTCTCTTTCTTTTCCTTCAAATCTGTTTCTTTCTCCTCCTTTTCCTTCAAATCTGTTTCTTTCTCCTTCTCTTCCTTCAAATCTGTTTCTTTCTCCTTCTTTTCCTTCAAATCTGTTTCTTTCTCCTCCTTTTCCTTCAAATCTGTTTCTTTCTCCTCCTTTTCCTTCAAATCTGTTTCTTTCTCCTCCTTCTCTTCCTTCAAATCTGTTTCTTTCTCCTTCTTTTCCTTCAAATCTGTTTCTTTCTCCTTCTTTTCCTTCAAATCTGTTTCTTTCTCCTTCTTTTCCTTCAAATCTGTTTCTTTCTCTTTCTTTTCCTTCAAATCTGTTTATTTCTCCTCCTCTTCCTTCAAATCTGTTTCTTTCTCCTTCTTTTCCTTCAAATCTGTTTATTTCTCCTTCTTTTCCTTCAAATCTGTTTCTTTCTCCTTCTTTTCCTTGAAATCTGTTTCTTTCTCCTTCTTTTCCTTCAAATCTGTTTCTTTCTCCTTCTTTTCCTTCAAATCTGTTTCTTTCTCCTTCTTTTCCTTCAAATCTGTTTCTTTCTCCTTCTTTTCCTTCAAATCTGTTTCTTTCTGCTTCTCTTCCTTGAAATCTGTTTCTTTCTCCTTCTTTTCCTTCAAATCTGTTTCATTCTCCTTCTTTTCCTTCAAATCTGTTTCTTTCTCCTTCTTTTCCTTCTTCCTTCAAATCTGTTTCTTTCTCCTTCTCTTCCTTCAAATCTGTTTCTTTCTCCTTCTCTTCCTTCAAATCTGTTTCTTTCTCCTTCTTTTCCTTCAAATCTGTTCTTCTCCTTCTCCTTCAAATCTGTTTCTTTCTCCTCCTTCTTTTCCTTCAAATCTGTTTCTTTCTCCTCCTTCTCTTCCTTCAAATCTGTTTCTTTCTCCTTCTTTTCCTTCAAATCTGTTTCTTTCTCCTCCTTCTTTTCCTTTAAATCTGTTTCTTTCTCTTTCTTTTCCTTCAAATCTGTTTCTTTCTCTTTCTTTTCCTTCAAATCTGTTTCTTTCTCTTTCTTTTCCTTCAAATCTGTTTCTTTCTCCTCCTTCTTTTCTTTCAAATTTGTTTCTTTCTCCTTATTATTCTTCCACCTCTTTCTCATTCTTCCTCTTTCCATCCTTCTTCGTATTCTTCACATCTCTATCTTCCCTCCTCCTCCTCCTTTTCTCTTTCATCCTTCCCTCCCTTATCTTTCTCCTCCTTTTTTTCTTTTCTTCTTCTCTTCCTCCTCCGCTTCTTTTTCCTCCTCTTCCTGCTCCTTCCCCTCCTCCTCCTCCCTTTCCTCGCTCTCCTCCTCCTCCTCACCTTCCTGCCTCCCCTCTCTTCTTCCTCTTTTCGTCTCTTCCCCCCTCTTCCTCTTCCATCGTCTCCTCCTCCTACTTCATCTTCTCCTTCCTTGCCTCCTCCCCGTCTTTTTCCATCTTCCCCTCCCAATTCTGCCCCTCCTCCTCCTCCTTCTCCTTCACTACCCCCCTCTTCTTCCTCTTAGCCCTCCTCCTGCTCCCTCTTCTTCCTTTCCTCCTCATCTTCTTTTTTCTTCTTCGTCTGTCAATCCTACTCAGTATTCTCCTTCTCCTCCTCCTCCTTCTTCTTTTCCCCCTACTTCTCCTTTTTCTTTCCCTCCTCCTTCTTCTCCTTCTCTTCCTCCACCTCCTCCTATTCCAGCTTCTCTTCCTCCTCTAGGTAATAACAATAAAACAAGTTGAGAAGAAAGTTCATACTGCGTGATGTGTTCTTGAGTTATCGTTGATATGATCTTGTAACGTGGTTGTGTGGCCGTTGTGATCGGGGTGTGGTAAGACTCGCGCTTATATTTAAAGACGTTTGGGACGCCTGA